TTTCTACTGAAAGTTGGTTTTATAGGGCTTTTTCACCTGAAAGATGCTTTCAGAGTTTCCTCTAAGCTCTCTAACTTCCAGAGGCACAATCTTAACTGACTCTTTTTCAGCTGAAGCTCTATACAATGGCTTACATTTTTAAGCATGCCTAGGTAGAGAAGAATTATCCTTCTAATGCTGAATATTTTTTAAAAAGTAGAGTCACAGGGCTTGCAGGGTGCACATCATTTCCTGGGCCGATGGCCACCTTTGCCCAAGTCTTTTGGAATTCACTCCAAAAAATAATGGGCATGAGTGTGTATGCAGGACAAACAACTAGATAAATGAATTTGATGCCACCTGCATCGTGACATCACAACACATATTTGCCATTTGGGAAAAACCTCTGGTTTCAGTAGACCCATGATTTTCCATTTCTATCACATTGAAAGGAACAATATTGGAACAACCTTTGGAAGTCTCTGAGATCCCACAGGGGGCTTTTGAGAGCAGGAGACTTTACCAGAGCGGAGAGAAAGATCACTACACTTCAAGATGGAAAACTCTTTGTCTGTTTGTCTTTGTGCAATTTTAGCAGTGAGGGAACCTGGCCTGTGCCACTGATAGAACATTTTATTATATTTTTTAAAGAGTTCCATGTTTTTCTTTTGTGTGCATTATTTTACATTGTTCCTGCTGTTTTGTAAAAGATTGTTAAATCCTGTGATGCACATTTTAAACATTTCACTGATTAGTTGTATTTCTTTTATGCTTTTCTCAACTGCATAGACCAGTAAACACTCCTCCAGTTGTCCTTGGATTCTGACTCCAGTCATTCCTGATTATTGGTGATGGTCCAGCAACATCTCAAGGGCCACAGATTTTCCTCTAGTAGCATAAATCCAAAGAAGGCAAATTCACAATGCTGCAATATTATTTGCCCCCAGAAAGCTATGTGTGCATTATACTGTATGTCACATCTTCTTGGAGGCAAAGATTACTTAGAGCCTCTGTAGGAGAAGAGCTGTGTTAGTCTATGGTGGCAAAAATCAGGAGGAATCTGGTAGCACTTTCTCCGACTAACAATTTTTATTGAAAAGTATAAGCTTTTATGAGTTGCAGCTTATGACTTTTAATGAAATTTATTAGTTGGAAAAGGTGCTACCAGACTACTACTGACTGGAGCCCTGCTGCATTTCCAGAGAAAATATTCTGTTTTGAGTTTTTTCAGAGAGAAACGTGTGTCTTCATCAGTCTAAGTTAAAAGAAATATGGGAAGGAGAAGATGCACATTTTCAAGAATATGTGATATTATTGACTGAGAAAGTGGCCATTTGCTTTCTCTTCTCCAGGAGAACTTGTCACTCAGTTGATTTTCCTGTCAAAGAAGTGTAGGATGGATTTACTTTCAAGAAAAAGATGGTGAGGTTTAGTAGGCTGTGTCTTAAGTTGATGGGGTCCCTCACTATTTGCTTCTTCCCAAGCATTCAGTGCCTTTTAGAGGATGGAAACCAACCAGGTGAAAACTTAGACATAAAGCTTTTTTCATTTAGCAGTTTAATTAGTTTCTTATAAGTAACTGCTTATTAATATAAGTTATTGGAAATTTATTAAATGCAATATATAGTGCTTCTTTAATCTGAGAAAATTACTAAAAAAATGAAATATTACAGAGAACCTGTTTAATGTATTAAGGTGGTCGTTTGCTTTTGATCAGTAAACGTTTAATTCGTTTTAAAATAGCTGTTAATGTAAGCTAAGTTATAATTGTAAGATTATTAAATACAACATACATGGTATTTTTTAGGTCTGAATATTATTTATGCAGTACTAAAATGAAATGGAATGTTTTGCCAACGTTGAGAGCAAAGTTATTCTTAGGTTCATATCCCATCTTTATTTTGTAGAAATCAAAGGGACATATTAAATGTTCCTGCTTTCTATTTTCCCCACAACAACAACCCTGTGAAGTGAGTTGGATGGAGAGAGAGTGAGTGGCCCAAAGTCACCCAGCCGGCTTTCATGCCTAAGGGAGGCCTAGAATGCCTGGTTTCTACTCCAGCACCTTAA